TCTTTCTGTGTACTTTCTATACATTTTATTTTGTAATGTTCTGTTCTGGATGGTCTCATGGTGTCTTAGCTCCACGTGGGAGATGTTTTGTTCATTTATTGCATCTTCTAGATTAAATTGTTTGTTTGTGTGGAAATTTATTGAGCTGTTTCTATCATGTATCCTTTTGGTTTAGTGAAGAGGCATCGGTATTTTTACAGGTGGAAAAGATGAAGGAAATAGCCAAGATAAAGGCAAAAGACGAAAAGAAAAAACTGCAATCTGAGGTGAGGGTTTTAGTCGTATGCCCCTTTTATTGGTTGTCCTGTGTATGCTATCCGAATTATTGGGAAACTCTTTTCGCATCTCATGACAGTTTTTCAGCAACACAAATTCACTTGTATGATTCTTCTCGTCTCTGTTACTGAAAATAAACTTGAAGATACAGAATGCCTCTATTATTATAATACTTACCGTTGCATAATTTATTTATCTGAAATTCAGTTTCAGCTTTGATGGCGTTCCTATCTTTTGTTTTCTGCTTGGATTCTCATTGACTAATGGATACATATATAGCTGGCTGGCCCAAGCCTCTCCTCCTTGATGTCTTGAAAGCTTTAATGTGATTAAATCTTGGGAAGACAATAGTGATATTTGGCTTCAGTTATCAAGCATTTATGAATTTTGATATATAGCGCAATATATTTTCTTGGTCTTCTTTGTGGCCAATGCATCACATGTATCGTCTTCCACTAACTTTGCAGAATTCTTTGACTATCACTTGCGTATCTTTTCTCATAAAGGCGTAATGTAATCTATGATTATCCTCGTGATATTAGTAGCCTATAATTTTATCAATCGAATATTGAAATTTATATTGCAATTGCTTTAAGGATGCTTGTATGGTCCATTTTGGAGGAGTTTCTGTTGCTGCCTAGTCTCGTGCCACGTGTGCATTTTTTAGTGTCCTTATCTTTTGTCCTTGTCTAATTTGTTTCCCGAGCCCTTGAATCATACTCATACCTATACAATCTTGTAATTTCAGATCGAGCTAGTGTTGATAGTTGAAAAGCTGCAGGAGTTACGCTCAATCAGAATACAGAAACTGAAAAAACAAGGTAAAAATGCAGGAGAATTACAAAAATTGCCCCTGAGGTCAGGGGCTCCGAATTACACAAATAACCTAGAGGTTTTGTTTTCGTCTTACATTTTATCCCAAAATATTAGTTAATCTGACTTTTAACAGACAGCTGTATCTTAACCAGATATTACTTTGCAGGTCATTTTTTTCCAGAAGAGGATGATAAATTTCTCGAACGTGTTAGAGCTGCGGTCGAGGAGGAGGAGCGTCAATCCATGGTGGCAGCTGTTACAGATGCTGCTAAAGATGCTATTGCTAATGCCGAGGAGTCAACAAAACAAATCCGCAATCATTCGCTCAGTTCGGAAAAAATAGAGCTTAATAATGATGGAGTTGGGGTAAGGCAAGACCATAAGAACGAGAGTAGTAATGAAGGAGCTTCAGAAGTGTTTGTCCAAGAAGCGAAAAGACGTGAAATGAATGGACCATCTTCAGGCAGCTCGTACGACTCTGTTGCTAATTTGCCCATGGAATTTTACCATTACTATCACGGTAGCAGTACCGATATGGGCACACTCATTGAGGTAAATACTGGACAAAATTTTCACCCTTATTTAGCTTATTGTTGCACCTTATCACTATTATGCTAGTCGAATTTGAATTTGGTGCCATGCTCCATGGACAGAAGCTTGTCGATACTTTCTGGTTGTGGTTCATTTGTATTGTCCCTTGTGGCGACCATTTTTATTGACCAGACACGATCTAAGACAGTTATATAAACACATGAGGATGAGATTGCTGTCTTTGTTGTATAGTTATATTATATTCATTTCTTACAAACTATTTTCTTGAGTATTCTTACCCTATTCGTAATTATGAGATGCTAGAGGTTTCTATAAATTTAGTATGATTTCATCTTTTATTGCAGGTTAGAAGAACATGGGACACGTACATACGACCTGGAGGAAGGTACGTAAATTGCACTTTCTCCTCAGAGATCAACATATTTAGATTTTCTGTAGAAAGTTTATTCATTTTCCTTTTTTTTTTCACCACAAGGACACGGATGCATTCATGTGCTTTTCTTGTTTATCCTTTATTACTAGTGCATAGCTCGTGCGATGCACGAGATACATATAATAAATCAATCATTTCTATAGGACTTGTACTTTTAGGCGGAAAAAAACGATAGGTTTGGATCATCCATATTTCACATCTATTAATAAGTGATGTTTATTTTAGCCAGACAATTAACATATTAATTAATGTATTATTTCGCAAATACGTTATACTAATATAAATTTGATTTTAGATATATATTTTTTCATTGATATAAGAAAAAATAAAAATTTTATTTATTCATGTTCAACATATAATACTCAATTCTTATTTTATTATAAAATTTATAGTCATATAATTTCATTATTATTATTTATAAAATTTATAGAAGTAGTCTTCTTCGTATTAATATATGTAACGAAATTCAAAATAAAATTTTGTGTATAAATGTTTACAGAATACACACACATATTTTTTATAATTCAATTTTCTCATAATAATTTTTTTAAGAAAATTGATTTAGCAATTGCCAAAGAATAAATCTCTTACATAATCAAGAGATTTTTTCTAATTTTCATCCTAAGGCTTTATAGTTTATTTAACATAGTATGCAATAGAAAAATATTTTACAATAAATTCATTTTTGAAACATAACAAAAAAAAGTGATAAAAACACTATCATAGTTGACAATAATATACAAATAAATAACATGTCGAAATTTTAAAGAATAACTAATATAATTTTATTATCTAACCATCAATAAAATCATTTAATGATGTGATCATTATCTTTTAAATGATAAATAATATTAATTTTTTTTAAAAAAAATATTAGTTTTGTATAATTAAATAAAGGTTAAAAAATATTACTCGACAAATATTAATTATAATGGATATCAGTAATATCATTGCATAAATTATTTAAGAAAAAAATCTTGAAAATTATATCTGGATAGTAAATGTAAATATGCAAGCATTTAATGCATATAGTAAAAAAATTCCAAATAAGGTTTGCATTAAATGTGTGCTGACTTTTCTTGCTACTATTTTTGGTAAATAGGTTGGCTTTTAATATATATATAGATAACTAAAGGCGTAATGCGATTATTTTTAAAGTAATTTTTCCTACAAGTGAATTTTTGAGTGGTGAGACTAAACTGCTATTATTATGTTGCTTTTGCTGTGGTCGTATTAGGATTTAGTCTCATATTGTCCTCTTATCAATCGAAACTCGATATTGCAGCTGTATACCGGGTCATTGGGTTCAACCGCCACCCCCAGCAGATGATATATGGGCATCCTACCTTGTAAACCCCAAACAACCTTAATCTACAGAGGGAAGCTATAATTTTCAAATATCAGCCTTTTTCGCATTTCTAGAGATTCGTACCTTTGTAATAAGGCTTCGTCGTGTGATTTAGAAAGAAGGAAAAAAAAAAAAAAAAAAGATCTTCACATGTACTATTTGGTGAAAACAGTATTTAATGTTGCCTAAGGACCATCACGAATCGACTATGGAGGATAAGCCAAGTTACTCGGCGTGATTCAGATGGAATTCGTTCAGGGGAACAAAAGTCGGTAAACAACTTTTTCACTGCTGTAATTTAAGGTGGTTATGGCACTGTGGATAGCTAGATGCAGTTGATAGTATTGCTGTAGTGTAAAAAATAAATTTTCATATATGCTGTCAAAGCTATCAAAGAACACTTGCCATTATTTACCTGACCATTCATGTATCAGTCCTTGCCTGGTGAAACCCCCAAAGCCATTGCCTTTGTCAGTTTCACCAAATTTAATCCAAGCACTTCAATATTTTAGAAATAAAAAAAAAAAAGTTATCTTACATTTTCTTTATAACGAATAAAATAATTGTCATGTTAGACTCAATTCTAGTGTATATATCTTAGCAATTGTTTTCACCGGTTGTCAAATTTCGGTTAAATTGAAATAATTATAATATATATATATATATATATATATATGTAATGTTTCGTTTTGGTTCAATTATTGATTTTATTTTTAAAGTTCTGGGTATTTCAGTTTGGTTTTATTCCTTTTCCCCTCTAAAATATCATAATTAACTGAATTGACCGAAAAAAAAATGTTATTATATATATTCAATATATTTATTTTAGTTTTTTAACCAAAATAATTTTAAATATTAATAAAAAAAATTGAAAAATCACATATATCTATTTACATTATGACGTATAACATATATGTCATGATTGGTATGAGGGAATGACATGAAAATTGAATGGTCATTCCCTTACTCATTCCTTATCCCATGAATAATATATTTTTTGGAAAGAAATGAACATTCTAATGGGAATGACAAAACTCATCTTCATGGGATTAGCCATTTCATAGTTCATGGAAGGTTTTCTCATTTCCATGTGTCTAGGATTCAAATTTTCAAAAAATAAAATTAACAAATAATAATAATAATAATAATAATAATAAATATATAATATATATTATGAATAATGATTAAAATATATTATATAAAATTATTTTAAAAAATAAAATTCAAATAAAAATATAGAAAACTTACTTTTATTTATTGTTTAATTAGATATATTAAACTCTTATATAAAAATAAAAATAAAAAAGGCATTTATATAATTTGAAAATATAGTATTTTGAATAATTTAAAAATATATTACTTTGAAAAATATATTATTAAAAATATTAAAAATATATTATTAGAAATATATTAACTTTTATTTGTATATATTATAAAAATATATTATTTTAAAAAATAAAAGTCAAATAAAAAATTGAAAATTACTTTTATTTATTGTTTAATTAAAAAATAAAAATATATATTATTAAAAATATATTACTTTTTATTTTTATATATTATTAAAAATATATTATTTTTTTATATATTAAAAATATATTACTTTTTAGAATATATTAATTATTAGATATAATTTAAAAATATATTATTTTATTTTTATATATTTTTAAAAATATATTATTTTTTATATTATTAAAAATATATTATTAAAAAAAATATTATTTTATTTCTATATATTATTAAAAAAATAAGCATTTGTAGACATCAAAATTTTAATATTTTATTAATTGATGTCTTTATTTATTTTTGGACATAAATCCAAGATAAATAAGATATTTAATTAATAAAGTAATTATTTCTTGCCCACCAAGTCAAATCTTAGGATAAGGAAAGAGATTATATCAGAAGGAAAGAGATTATGTCAAATCATGAAGGACCAATCAAATTGATGTATTCTTCTCCAAGACTCTCTCTCCTACACCTATAAATAGGGTTCTCCTCAATCCCACAAATCACACCTCAAACACCTCAAACACCTAAAAACATATCAAACACATCTCAAAAAACCAAAGTCTCAAATTCAAGAGCTCTCAATAACCCTTTTGAAAATTTGAAGAAGTTCTCGAAGAGCCCCCGAAGTCCGTTCAATGAAGAAGAAGGCCAAGAGGAAGAAAAAGAGGCGACGACTCTTCCCCAAGAAGTAAAGAGACGACTTCAACTCTTCTCAAATTAATCCAAGAGTATCAACGATGTTCAAGCGACATTCAAGCCACGTTCGTTGAGAAGTTCAACAAACATAGCGTTTGATCCGGGAAAAAGCTATCAAACCCTCGAGTCAACGTTATTCAAGTCAAAATTCCTATTTCAAGAAGATCAAAGAATCAAGTCCTCCAAGAAGTCTTCTTCAATCAAGTCAAGACCTAACATTTAATACGGGAATAAGTCATTCGACCCCCAAGTTAATGTTAGAGAAATTCAATCTCAAGCATGAAGGAGATTCAATCGTCAAATCCATCTTTCAAGATCTCAAACCCAAATCCATGAAGAGAAGAATCAGAGGAGATAAATAGAGATTGTACCCGCATATCGTTTGATCGAAATATATTTAAGTTGTACAAAAGTTTTATGTTTTTCATAAAATTTGTTGTTACAGCATTGATTTATAATTTATTAAAAATATTTAATTTTTTATAAGAGCTTTTATTTATTTTTATAATAAAAAATAATAATGTCATTTATTCAGATCTTATTCTTTCTGCATACCAAACGCATCAATGACAAAACTTGTTTCATTCAATTTCCATAATCATTTTATTCTTCAATTCATTACATTTCTACGATATTCCATTCCATTATACCAATTAGCCGACCAAATTAAACGGTCATTTCATATCGGTTTTAGATTCGATAGTCTACACAAATTTGCACGAATTAATTTCGATAACCCGAGAAGTTGAGTATTACAGTTTTGTATGGGTTAGGTCAAATTGCTGCTTAGAGGCCATTTTACATGTTTATTTTAATTTCTAAACACTTTTACAAAATACGATATTTAAAATAAAATCGTAGATATCATTTATAAACTGAGTTATAAACTAAAAAACATTGCAATTTAGAAAGCAATGAAATAATGAATCATAAATCGACAATTCATAAATAATAAAAGTTAGTATTCATAATTAAAAAAAAAAAGAAAAAGAAAAAAAAATTCAGAAATTACAATTTACAAATAAATGGAAATTAACAGGTGAACGGAATTTTCTTGGTTAAATGCACATGCCTCGTTTTCTGGTGCGACAAACTGGAGCCCAATGGGCCGTTAATTCACAAGGCCTACAGTTAACTCAAACCCACCTATCCCGGCCCAGTAACAAACAAACGGCAACTTGGGTACATCATCACCCGACAAATCCCCGTCTTTTCCAGGTAAGATCAAACGAAACTATTATTTTCCCCTCTTTCTCTCAGATCTAATTTCCTTGAATTTTAATTCAATCAAATCGAAATTCCTCAAAATTTTCCCCCAAATCCACATTCCAAATCTTCGGAGAGAAGGAATTTTCGAGCAGAAGATTCTCCGGCGCGTGGATCGGCGTGCAGATGTGGAACTCGGTAGCTAATTTGAAGGAGAGCCTGAGTAAGATCGCACTCGACGTGCATGACGACGACGACGACGACGAGCCTTCGATTCGCACTCCTCAGTCGCGCGATCGGCTCGAGAACGGGATTTCGGTCTCTGAGCGGAGGATTTCGCGCAGTTTCAGTCGTTCAAATTCTCCGATCGTCAATGGGTTTGATTCCCCACCGACTCCCGAGGTGCGTATGATTATCTTTGTCTTTTTGTGTTTGATATTATTATGATTTGGTTTTATTGGTCGTTAATTTCCGGTGAGCTTCTAGTTTGTTGTGTTCGTGTTTGTTGAACTGAGAGGAGATTGGTCATGCTTTTGTAATCATCTTAGTTCAGCAATACCTCTGTCCATTGGAAACGGGGATATAAATGGCTGTAAATGCACGATGTTTTCACCTATGATGCATAGTGTTGTATTTGCCAAAATGTGTGTGGATGGAAATGGGCTGCAGAATTTCTGCATTTTGGCAGTGGATCCATAGCTATATTGTGAGTTATTTTGGAGAGGAATGTTGAAATTTACATTATAAGGTTGGATATTAATTAGTGAAGTATGAGGATTGTGTTGGGTGGCCTTAAAATGACTCATCTGAATTATTTGTTTCACGATTATGATGTTTCTGGAATATTTATTTGTATTCCTTCGCCTTTCAACTGTTGCTTGGAAATCAACTGAATATCCGTTATGTATTATTGCCTAGCAGATCCAACAATACAAAAAAGAAATTAAGAGACTTCAGGAATCCGAGGCGGAAATAAAGGCTCTTTCAGTTAATTATGCAGCTTTGTTGAAGGAGAAAGAGGTACATTTTTTTTGCTACTCGCAGAAGTGGTAGATATCCGTAAACAAAAAATAAGAATTTTAGTTCGAAGTCGCTACACAAAATGGATCTTACTGAGAAATCAACGTCTTATTCTGTTATGGTACATTATGAGTTGTATGCAACTGGAATGCTGTGGCCAATGTAGCTATGCAGTATTGTGTTCCCTTCAGATTTGGTTAATTTTAATGGTTCCCTGTAAACTATTAGAAGAATGTCTCAGTCAGTTTAATTGTTTTAGATGTACTTGCTGTAACCCAAAGAAGTTACATTCCTCACTAGATGAAGATACTTTTCTATAAACCCATTAACTTGAAATTAGCTCACAGTTGAAGTGGGCGAATTGTTGTGGTTATTTGATCAAGTGTATGCTTGAATTTTGGATGATAGCGGGGTTTCTAATTAGAAGTTTCCGGAACCAGTTACCTTACCTGACAGCAACTGATCCTGATCTCCGGGTGACGTTAAACTCGGGATTTAGTGAGATTGCGAGATAGGATTAATAATTTGCTCCATTTTACTCACTATTCCACTCTGCTTCAAGATTTTGCATGATTGGTGTGATCTTCTTTATATGCGGGAGATTCAAATTTTGTCTCTTATCCAGTTATTTTGGTAGTTTGATTCTCTATTCTAATGACAGGATCTGATTTCGAAATTGACTGAAGAAAATGGCTCATTGAAACAAAATCTTCTCACCACAAATGCTGCTCTCAGTGCAACTACAGCTGTGCCTAAGGTATTTGTCGTGAGTACTGAATCCGGTTGTGATAGATTATCATTTTGTTGATTTTGCTAGTTATACGTGATTGTATGATTTATCTTTGCTGCGATTGTATTGGACATGAATGTATACGAAGTTAATTGAACATGTATCCGATTTGTACCGAATAGTTCGAAAACGATGGATAACCTCAAATCATTTCAAATCTAACTTCTGAGAGGCAGTATATTCTTAAGGTTTGTAATTCTTTAAATCAATTTTGCTACCAGAAGTGTGTTCTCCGACTTGTTTCAGTAGGAGAATCTCATTTCCTTGTTATATGTTACTTAAGGAGAACTAGGTGGAGAATTAGCAATAACTATCCCTGAGACCCTAACTCCATTTAAAAGGAACTTAATAATCTGGAAAATTCATTTAGATTTGTTTTGGGGGTACTAACTCCAGTTACCTTCTGTGTGAGTTAGTGGCTGATTTTATCTAACTTTTCTCAGGGGAGTGTCAATATTTCTCCCAGGTCCAATAAGTTTGCAACAAAAGTACGTAACAATGGAAGCCCATTATCCAATGGAATCATATCTAAACATGATGAATTAAGCAATGGAACCATTTCAAATAATGGAAAGGTAAGTGAGGCTTCTAAGCCACAAGCTTTCTTTCCCCTTGAAATCGCTGTTCTCCTTCACTTCATGCCTAGCACATGTATGCTGTTTTCTGAAGTTTATTTTGGATAGGAATTGGCGATTTGTTTCTTATGCGTAAGTTTGAATTTTTAATGTAGTTAGAACAAATGGAATTGTGGTCTTGTCATGTCGCACTTGTAGCTTTTGCAATTTCACACTGTAACTCTTACAGTTGTTCTGCCTTTTGTCATCCAATGAGATAATTTGATGATAGCTGCTCTAATGCCTTCTAGGAACTCTCAGATCAGATGGAAGACAAAAATAAATCCCTTGCAGAGTTGCAAGCAACGCATGAATCGCAAATGAAACAGATGGTGGTCGAGCTTGACAAAGAACGTGGTAGATTAGCTACTATGCGGTCAAGATTAGAAGGTAGTCATTCTTTAAAATCTGGCTTCGTTGTGGTGCATTGAATGTTTTAGTTAACATGTTTGTTCTATGTTTAGAGGAGCAGAAGTTGAACAGATCATTTCAGCAGGAGTTGGGCTCTTTAAAAGATGAAAACAATAAAGTGAGTGTTTTATTGCTTTTTATTTTATTGAGTAATATGGCATCCCTCCTTACTTTTTTCACATCATCTTATACTTTTTACTAATTAATAAATTAAATTGTTTGAGAATGATGTTGATGACACAATTATTGATGAGTTGTCATAAACTGCTGTATGTGAAGCCTTTAAAAACGCGTTGAATCCAATGTAAAAACTTTGTTGTTGAAACAGAAATTGTTTGGCCACATTATCTGTAATTGCCGTACAGCCTGGTTTAAATTCCCATATTTCAAGAATGTCATTGCCATTAATGCATTGTGCATCATAAATGGACTAGCCTTACTTTTTTTTTTCCCTTTCCAGATGTTGAAAGAGGTGCAGAAAACACGTGATGACCTAAATCAGAAAATATCAGAAATAGGGAGATTGCAGATAGAGTTACAGCGAAGAGATGCAGAAGGAACAAATGGCACTATAGTTGAACTGAAGAAGGTAATTGCTACCTTGGAAGATGAAACTAGAAATATTAAGGTCAGTATTCTACCATTCCTTTTGGAAATTATTCTGCATTGTTTGCATTCACATCCACAAAAATATTATATGGACTGTTGGATCTTACCTTTTTTTTTCCATGGTAGAAAGAAAAAGATGAACTTGAGGCTGCCTTAAAAGCAGTTACTTCTGATCCAGTTCCCAAAGGCGCGCCTGCTGACGTTGATCCTAATAAGCGTACAAGTCATATTAGTGTGGTAAGATCTGAATATTTGATAATGTTTGGTAGATACTTTTTTTTTCGGTTTATTATTTTTTATTTTGTATCTTACGTAATTTCTTTCTATTAAAGAGAACATTCAAGTATTTATTTCTCATTGATCTCATTTCTTGTTATGCATATTGAACTCTTCCATTTATATATGCCCTCTAAAGTTAAAAGTCTATGCAGGAATCACCATCGAAGGAGGAAATGCAGCAATCTTTGCGTAAGCTGGAGAACGATTTGAAGGAAGCATCCCGAGAGAGGGACAAAGCGTTGTATGAGTTAAATCGTCTCAAACAGCATTTATTGGAGAAGGTTTGTGTCCCCAATCTCCTCTAGAAAGGTTTGACCTTCATAAAAAATAATCTCTAACCTTTCTAGTCATAGGAATCTGAAGAATCCGAGAAGATGGATGAGGATAGTAAGGTCATCGAGGAACTGCGAGAAATCAACGGACACCAAAGAGTTCAAATATCACGTTTGGAGAAAGCTCTTACGCAGGCCATTGCAAGTCAGGAAGATATAAAAGTGTCCAGCAGTAATGAGCTGATGAGGGCTAAAGAGACCATAGACGAGCTTGATAGAAAATTGACCAGCTGTTTGAGCACAATAGATGCCAAAAACATGGAAATTTTGAATCTTCAAACTGCACTCGGACAATATTATGCTGAAATTGAAGCTAAGGTAGACTTCCGTTTACTGTTTGGAAGATTATTATGAAGGCAAGGTACTTTTTGGTTTTGTTCCATTAATATTTGTGTTTTCAGGAACGTCTCATTGAGGAGTTATATTTTGCAAAAGAAGAATCTGCTAGACTCACAAATCAGTTGAAGGTGTAATTTCTTACCTTGACCTTCTATAGTTGTTGAATTTATTTTTTATGATTTAGTCAGCCCAGGAAACATGTTTATATCTATTGTTGCCACACACATGGGCTCGTGTAATTTTTGTATCATAACCTTACAAAAATGTAAGTCTTCAGGCTAAGGGGCTGAAGTTGCTAACTCTTTGCTCTTTGATATGCTTTTTAGGAAGCACACCAGCAAGCGGACGTGTCAAAGATGGAAAAAGAAGAAATCCTTGGCAGGCTTTCAGAAGCCGAAAGGACTCTTGCTGATGGGAAGAGCAGAGTTAAGAAGCTTACGGAGGACAATGAAAAACTACGAAGGGCTCTTGAGCAAAGCATGACGAGGTTAAATAGGATGTCAGTGGACTCGGATTTTCTAGTTGACAGGTTGGATAATTTGTGCTATTTTCACCTTATTCTAACTTGAGTCGTTTCCTACTTAAGACGCTGCATGTGAAACATAGCATCTTTTTTTTTTTTGGTTCTCTTTTGACAGTTGGATTCACACATCGTGCTAGTTAAATTTTTAATCTAATACAAAAAGCTGTTTTGTGCGCAGGCGCATTGTCATCAAATTACTGGTGACATATTTTCAACGAAACCACAGTAAAGAGGTGAGTGTGAATATCCGATCCAATTCGGTATCAAGGTGCCCGGACAGATGTGTGAAATTATTCCTCCCTCGTTCCTGAAGGAGGGCATGAATTAACAAATCCACATGCCTATAACTGCATTAATTGGAAAGAAACAAGAATCAAGCCATCTTCGTACACCACCTAAAAACATTAGTTATTTTTTTTTTTTTTTTTTAGGTTCTGGATCTAATGGTTCGCATGCTCGGATTTTCGGATGAAGACAAGCAACGAATAGGCATCGCCCAGCAAGGGGCCGGAAAAGGTGTAGTTAGGGGTGTGTTAGGTCTTCCGGGTCGACTGGTCGGGGGTATTTTAGGCGGCGGCGGCTCAGCCGGAGGCCAGGCAGCCATGGCATCTGACAACCAGGTACTAAGTGCATGAGTGGATACAAAATTTTCAAAAAAAAAACAATTATTTTTAACCAGTCACTTTTTTTTTTTTTAACTCAACCCTACTATTTTCATTATTATCAATATAATTGATTAATACCACTCAATCATTCTGACGCATTACATTAATTTTAATTCATTATTTATCCACTCACATAATTTTTAACTAACCATCACTTCACATCATCTTATATCCCACTAACAACAAACCATACTACTTTTCAAAATTAACCATACGAAATCAAAAAATCCAAACAAAATCAAAACATCTTATATCCAAGCCCCACGGTCCCCGTACAATATTACCATGAATCTCATTGGATGCATAATCTTCTTTCTTTCCTCAAGTTTTCATTCTCGAGTGATTGTGTCGTAATCCAAGTATCCAACCAAATTGTCAATTTTTTATTTATTTATTTATTTTTCATGTGATGAACTGGTGAAATCAGAATGTCGTATTATGATGAATTCTAAATTCTTTTGCCACCATTTTTTTTCCAGTCCTTTGCAGATTTATGGGTGGACTTCCTTCTTACGGAGACTGAAAAAGAAAAGAGAGGGTTGGCAGAAGGTTCCAATCCGGCCCATGACAACACGGATACTTCGCCTTCTCCTTCCTCAGATCACAAGGGGTCGTCATCATCATCTGCTTCGAGTTATTTGCATAGCCCTTTCGACAGTCGAAACCAAATGCAATCACATTCTCGTCCAAACTTCATGCAACGTGAGAATTCCGACTCGGAGTTTTCAACCGTTCCCCTCACCTCATCGGAAAGCAATTCCCAGGGCTCGAGACTACTTCCAAGATACTGAGTTAATTTATTTTTTTGAGATGCTGTAAATATACAAATTGAAGTACAGATTTCACTCCCTGTGTATGTTTGATGCCTTATGGTTCTTTCAAATTTTTTTGTCCCCTCTGTGGAAGGAGAGGAGCCAGGACGGGCTGGCTGTATAGGCATTACCATATATATACACACCACTCCCATTTTCCAGTAGTGAAAACTTTTTGGGTGTCCAAATACATGTAAGCTTTATTGATTGTGCCAAAAAATTGTGAGCTTGTTTGTGCAATAAATCGGAACATAAAGATGGACTTTGTGTGAACAAGCTTTTATCTAATACTTGTATCGCGCCTTTAGCCATCAAAAAACGAAAAGTGCACAAGAATATATTGCTTATGATAGTACGATTCAAACTCCATCTGCATACGATTATCTGAACAAAAAACGATTCAAGTGCGCACAAGAATATATTGCTTATGATGATAGTACGATTCAAACCCATCTGCATACGATTATCCGAACAAGATTAGTATCCACAATACAATTTTATCTAAAACTGAAATATTCCAAACGCATTACAGAATAATGATATTATATTACCACACCCAATACTTATATAACCTACAGCAACAGCAACACCATTACCAAAACATCTCAAAAGTCTTTACTGTAAACACACAGATTTAAGTCATTACATCCAATAAGGATCTACACCCGCTTTTTATCCAACGGTCCCTTGGGTATCTTGCTAAGAACCTTGCTGTCGAACACTGCATACTGCTTCTTGATCTCGATGATTGCTTTTTCGGCAAAAGCATCAATTTTATCATCATACTTCTCGTACAAGACAGGCACCGTGTACAGCAGCACAAACACTGAAATAAGGGAGGAAAATATGTGTTAATATACCACTCAGATATTAATATGCACTCACCCAGTCAACCCTAGGTGTAGTACAGAAGCCAAAAGGTTACTTTACCTATGTAAAACAACGTCAAGAAATTGCAGAAGCTGCCCAATATGGAAAGAGCCCAAAGGACAAAAACAACCTGAAATAAATCACAAATCCCATTGTCAATATGCAGCATTTGCATTAAGTTTTAACACTTTACTTGAACAACATATGCCATTTGACCCTCAAGTAATATACCTCAAAAAATAAAATCTTACGTATAGTGATTACAGAGATGTATGCCCAAAGAACTATTGACTCGATATTATTCGAAAACATACAAATTACAAAATCACTAGCGAAGAGGAAGTAAAGCATAAAAAGTGAAATAAAAACAATTCAATATTCATAGAGGTACACACAGGTTTCGACAAGTGATAGATTAATATTACCAGAAGAAACTTCTTGAGATCCTTGCCAGATGCAATTTCCCTCAACACAACAAGAGCACGATTGAGCTCAACACGAAGTGCAGATGCAACCTCAGTAAATGGTTCTGCTGGAAGGCGAACTTCCGGAAGGCGAGCAGGTTTCCTAAAAGGCAGAGATAAAACGGATCGGATTAATTTAACTGGTAAACTAAATACTCAATTCCAAAAAAATAACTGATGCAAAGAACTATCAAATTAAACTCACTTGTTGATGAAAGTTGTTACGTTCGACCACAAGAACAACAGCGAAATGGCGAGGATCACAATGTGGCACACCAGAGTAAGAAGATGATACTCAAGCAACTCAAACAGAACCCAAATAGCAGTTGCCACACCAAGCACTGAGGCAGATATTTTCTTGTTTCTCCACAAGAATACATCAGCAGCTACAAAAACAAATAACCACAGCAACTATTCTAGATTATTAACCCCATATAAAGCACTTAGTTTAACTACATTAAGATCTCTCCTTGCAGTAACATTTGCTCTAAACTTGCTCATACTTGAGAAAAAAAATGCATACTGTGACTTCACAAAAGAACATATTCGAAACCAAAATTAATCAACACAAAACAATTACACAAACGCATTTAACAAAAAGCACGAACAAAGAAAAATTGTATACTAATTTTATAATCACACAGCATTGTGCCCATATTATAAGGTAACTGAACTCGTGTGTTTCATAACATTTGAAAACAGAAACAGTACTCCTCAGCAGCCAAGTCAAAAGGCGGAAAGTAAAAGCAATAAAAACGAGATGAAAGCAGTTAAGCATAAGAGTTACAGTGATACTGTCTTACGTTTGCCTCCACCAAAGACCTCGTGAACCGGTTTTTCACGGCCGAACAGCCGGTAGGTCTTCGCCTTGACCGGAGAAGGCGGCGCCGGTTCCCCCCGAGGCTCGGAATCCGAGTCCGAAGACGACGACGTATCGCCGCCGCTGCTGCCGTGAAACTTATCGGAGATTTTATCAACCAACGACTCCCTCGGATCTGAGATTTCTTCCTGCTCCGCCATCGCCGTTCGAATTCCAAAAACTATAAACGCAAAATTAACTGTTGTGTGAAGAATTTGAAGGGAAAAAAAAAGCTTCTCGGCGAAGAAAAGGCAACACGGCGAGAGCGAAAATGCGTGTTCGAGATTTGAGAAGGTGTGAGTGTGGGTTTTGATGTACGAAGGTTGCGCCAAGCCTGAGGCTCGGAGCTTGGTTCGGGGAATTTTTGAAATTATCTTCGAATTTGAAATTATCGGCGTGGCGTTATTGAGGACAAAGTAAGATAGGACGCGCGACTTTCTATTAATTCCGTAATTTTTTTATTTTTTTATTTTTTTATTTTTTT